TACCTTGGTAAATAAACAAAATCAAAATCCTTCAACGTCCGATTCATGGTCGGATTCGCCAAACATTTGATAGAACTCTTCTGTCGTCATTGGCTCGTCATCATACATATTTTCAGTCTCGAACTCTGTATTGTTACAATCACTACTAGAGCCTTCGTCGTCATTTTCACTTTCAAAAACAATATCATCTTACGTGCCGTCTAGTTCGTTGCTAATACAACATTTTTTAAATGATTTTATAATCATTTCAGAGGAACTCTGTGATTAGTTCGTTACATAAGTTAAGTCATGAAATTACTTCAAGTAAATGACTTATCTGATAAGTCGTCCAATTTGAGTGCGGGAAGAAAACAACTGCATTATATAAAAAAAATTTTGAACTTCCGATTCTTTTAATTTTTATGGCCCCGCGTATAAGTCGACCCCCCCACTTTGAAGCTTTTTTTTTTGTCCAAAATATCTCGACTTATACGCGGGTATATACGGTAATTTGTTTCCAGTACTATGACAACCATAGAGGGATATGATAGTCTTCTTTAGGGTAAGGTACGAACTGCTCAAAATTTGATCGAAGATCCCTCCCCCCTCTTATCTAATCCACGAACTGCCCGACGTTTCCCTGTCCCCTCTTTCTAAGAACGTGAATTCCTAAGAAGATGGCTGCTACAAAAAATCATTTATCGTCATTAATGGTCCATTTTATTGAGACTGCAAGCCTCTATTTTCGTTTATCAACATTGTAAAAATCTGAGTATACAAAACAAATATTAATTTATAGTCTGGCATGTTTTAAAGTAAAAATGAATATCTTTTACACTCATTTTAAGTTTTATGATGCTTAAAAGAATGATGAGCCAGATCTTTTTTATTCTCTGTAAGAATTAAAAACTTTCCAAGTTGTAGATTTTAGTCGCTGATATATCAATTTTGAATAATAAAAATTGATAGTTTAATGACATACACAAAACTGATACATTATCAACCTATTAAATATAGGATTCGTAGCGCACCTTAAATAAGTTTCTTGTCTAGATAAATATTGACAAATCGTCTTAGATAGCAGATCAGTTTTAACTTTCAAATTTAACATTTTAGGTAAACAATTCTAATTGAATTTAAACAATTCACTTTATTAAATCTAAAAATTGGATTTCTTAAGTGGTTCTAAATTCACACTAATATTATTGCAATATATTGCCGTATTAAGCTTTCCAATTTTAGTCATTGAAGATATTTTAAGATTATTTAGCTTTCTTACAAATTTCATATTTTAATACTAGAAACGTTTAAATATTTATTCTGTTCTCCAGTTACTCTACCTGATGTACTTTGGCATACATTTAATTTCTAATACACATTTAATTAATAAATTGATAATTATGAGCGTCTGCAGAATTTTTATAATTAACAAAAGAAATTCGAACTCGCTTATAGTAATATCTTGGGATTTTCAGTTCCCTTTTTATCCATTCCTTTTTCACACATTGTTGCACTGTATTCAAGTTTTCATGGATGTAGAATTTATATGTTTTGTATTATACTTATGCCAATTTATATTTAAAAAATAATTTTTACAAATTCTTGCATCATAACTCTAGTTAACAGAAGATATTTCTAACACCTTGGTAAAGCTTAATCTTCAGTATGCATCTTCTTTTTTGTAGCCTAGTTTCAGGCTGAATTATGTGTAAAATTAATTATTTGAAATTATTTGAAACAAAGATGATCGCTAAATCACGCTAATATTATTTATAGCTCTTGTAATTTATAATGCAACGAGTTCATGTGATTTATAATAGAATTCATTTATAAATTTTTCAGCAGTATTGAAATTAATATCAGATACTGATAATGTTATACATTTAGATTACAATGATTTAGTTTGCCATTACCTTCTTCCCTGATGCTTTTATGCTACATTCCTAATATTTCATAATGGCATACAGATAGGTTTAACTCACTCACCACGACAGTTAAATGCTTTCAAATAAACTATTGTTTCAGTAAGTAAGAATTATCATGGAACATCAATCAAGCTAAAATTTAAAATACAAAATTGTTTTTCTTTCTTATGTATAAAAGTGTGCCTAAGGGAATGCTAAATCTGAAATATTCCCTCTCTCGGTATCAATATGATAATGTAGTATAAAACGTTATATGTTGCTTAAGAGTTAAAAAACGTACTTCAAAATAAAATCATACCAGAGAAACATAAAAAACCAGATAATGTATTGATGGAAAATTTTAATAAATATCCGGTCTAAAAAGAAAAAATAATGTTGAAAGGTGGAAGCATTAAGTAAGTAAAAATTCAGTAGAGTAGCTCGTGTAAATCTTTTGGCATTGCAGATTTTGCAAGCGAATGTTTATCTTAACAATTCGAAATTCAAATTTCTTAACGCCCTTTTTATGTCAATAATAGGAAACGAAAATATTTGAAAACTGCATTTTAATTTGTATTTTTATCGATGTTCATGACTTAAAAATATTTTGCATGCATGTTTTACGATGTATAAACACATTTTTCTGCTACTTTTGATCTCTCATCAGTGTAAAATATACTTAAGTATTAAAAAGAAGGTTAAAAATACGAAAAGAGTATTTTGTTCAAATTGGCATCTTACTGCACAGACAAAGAATGGTAGATATACTAAATTCAAGTTCTAGTGAATTCGAAGCGTCATCTTAAATTTTGCCTGCAACCGTAATGTGAGACAACTGAAACCCATCTACAATAGGCAAAATATAGACAATTTAGGATAACTTCAAATAGACTTAAAAAATAATCAAACTACGATTCACATCCAATCCCTCAATACAGAAAAACGAATTACAAATTAACTAAATGGAAACAATGAGCTAATTTTAAATGTTTCTTTTGCCAAAGTTCATTGGAATAAACCAAAACCGTCTGGACACCATTCAATAAATGAAACCTTATGTATCTCTTATGAATAGAAAAGACAGGATTAGTTTCTGCTAATCAAATGTTTTGTTGATCAGTTTCTAGAGCAGAGAGAGTGGTCAAAATATCTTGTTTTCTGGCGTTCTTTACAACGAAAAATTTACGTTTAATTTTTCTTCATCGTATACCATGAAGTATGCATCACATCAAGAAAGTAATCGAAATAGTCATCACAATACTTAGATTACTATGTAAAATACATAGACAAATAGATATTACTAATACATAAACATAAGAAAAGGTTTTTCTGCTAAGATCTGTTTTTTTTATAGAAACAACGTAATGTTAATTGCATGCTGCAAAATGAAACGATATTTCATGCAGAAAAGAATATGCCAAGAACAGATTTTCAGCAAGATAGTGATATATAACACAATTCAAAACTTCTGAAAGAGTATTTATCTCGTACAAAAACGGAAGTCTTTAACGGTGGTTAAAACATGACATAAATCCTATTATAACATTGGTGAAAAAAGTTGATGCAACTTACAATAATTTAACTTTTAAATATTTCCTTCAAAGATTAAACTTTAAATCTATTGCTTTAAACAAAATTAAGTTATTGATTCTAAGCCCCGGAGTTGAAATGATGTTTTGAAAGATATAAGATTTTTAATCTGCTTTTAAAATGAAATATTATTTTACTTGCTCTTAGTATAACATAGTGCACTTTTTGACGTCTGATCCATCATTACGAATTGTTTTCTTATTAATAAAAAAAAATTCACAAACTGTGCGTTTTGTTATATTTTTAGTTTTGTATAATATTTGCCAAGTTTTATTTTATACTGCAGAAAATTAATTAACATATTGAGGAGTTTTTGAAAAACGTGTATTTTTGAGGCAGACTCAGTTATAAAAAATTTTGATTAAGTTAAATTTTATTTATAAAGAATAAAAATAAAAAAATTATATGTAACAACGATAAAAAGCATGGCACTGCTAAATTTAAAAAAAAAAAAAAAAGTAAACTAAATTTTAAGAATAAGAAAGTCTAAATTTGTTTGCTAAATTCTGAATATAAGTATTTATTTTTTAAGAGTTCAAAGTTCTTTTTAAAACCAATGAAAGAGCTGCTTTTTTTTACCTTAAAACCTAAGAATTTAGCTTATCACACCGACATTTTTGACTGGTTTTATTTGATTATGGGAAAGCACTCCAGAACTATCTGCAGAAGGGGAAGGATACCTTCGTGAATGGCTCTTATTCAGATTACACATGAGAAAAACCACGAACATGCCCATGCAGTCAGTCCGTTCGCGGAATTCGAAACTCGGACCGAACTGCCAGTGTTTAGCGACTTTACCGCTGTTCATTGGTGGGGCCCATTTTTGGCCGGCCAGAAGATACAGGAACTACAGGAACTATTGTTTATTGTCATTTCGAAGATGCCTGCTAGTTTCTGGCCTCCCTAAATTAGTGAAACTCGCAAACGTACATATAATTTCTTTTTTAAATTTTCATATACACAAGAAATATTTATGCTTTTTTTGTGATTAAATTCTTTTCAAAGATCCGCATTTTATTACATTATTATTCATTATTTATTTATTTGGGATGAATGATATCAAAGCATGTAGTTCTCCCAGCTGCACAAAAGTAAAACTCAGACTGCGACAGCGGTGCATGACATTAATTGCCTGGTTTAAATATGTCGGTTTCTCTCTCTATTCTGATCCAATTTCATATAGAAAAATAGATTTTAAGGAATAAAATTTAAACATGTAACAGATCATCATTTTTATGTCGGGATCAGTTGTATTTCCAATCATTAAAATGAATTTCAATTGTCAAGGTAAAATGTTCACTGTACATTAGATTCATATTACTAACAAAATAGATCATTTTCACATTGAGTGTTTCATTATGTTACATTGCTTTTGATGTTATCATAAATTCTTTATTTGAGAAGCATGTTAAATATTTCTTGTAGTAATTCGTTTTCTTGTTTCTGCAGGTAATGCATGAGTTCCCAAGAGAATCCATTGCACGTGGCCACTGGCCTAACATTTCTGAAAGTGCAGGAAAATGATAAAAAATTTGTACAGCATCCTTCTGAATAGACTCTAGATATAAAAGGCTCAATGGATTGTATGAGGAGCACAAGTTATGTTAGTCTCATCTAAAATATTTTATTGTTTTTAAATCAAACATGATGTTTAACTTGTTTTCATTTGCAGCACTTTAACAATGGTTCTTAAACTTAAAATATGCATGATTTTGGATAGCTGAGTTCTTTGTATTATGTCCGTACTGCTAATATTTCATAAATAACATTAAGCAAAGTCACACGGAGATGCGAATAGCATAATCGTAAAGTAGCATCGGATAATAAATTTTGTATTATCCGATAACATATTTCGTTATTACCACATCGAAAGAGAAATTAGACTAATAGATCAATTTGACGTAAATGGAAACATTTGTCAACATAGCGTTTTTAATTTGAATAACTGATAGTATTGCAATAGTTATTGACTTGAGCACCAAAATATGATTCTTTGTTTAGAAATCGCACTTAATTTAGGAACTTCTGCAATGCATTTATTTTAATAAAAAATAGGTTCAAAGAAAATTATGGCTGATATTCTAATCGCTACTGTATTCTTTATAATACATATGAATGAATTATAATATGTTTATGAATTTACATATGTTTATGAATTTCTATTTAAAATTTCATTAATGTTAAAAACTGTGCAAATACTCTCAGAATTCTTTTCTTTTTCGCTAAATATTATAATTTTAAACGTAATAAGATAAAATTTGATGTCGATCTGATAATCTTGTCCATTTCTATTTATTCCAAGTTCTTTATTTCAGATTTTATGAATGATTCATAAAGGATAGTTTAAATTCTAGAATGTTCGTATAGCGATAGCATATCAGTCCTTAAAAGTTCCATTTAAAACTTATTTTATTTAAAATTGCATAATTTTCCAATATATTCTGTGTTTTCAAAAGAGCAGAGGAAACATGATAACAGTTTTGTTTTCACACTGTTTTTGATTATTTTGGCTTCTATGTGTGTTTGTTTATTAAAATCAGATCTTTACAATAATTTGAGTCATACTATCCAATCGACTATTTTGAAATTTTCAAAGCATGCATGTTTCTAATGAAAATGCATTAGTTTATAAAGACCTCTTAAAATGTGATATAGTAGATTTCTTTTAAATTTGGAACTGAATTTTCCCCATATATCTTTCCCGTATAAACCAGTAACTAACGAATTTCAAACTTTAACCATCGGACAGATGAAAAATAACTTCCAGTGCGAAGTGTTTTGGAGTATCGGATAAATTATCGAATTTAGGCGCTCTTTATTGCATTGAAAGGTTTTTCCGACTCTTTGTTGAGATTAATAATGGCGGACTTTTTCAGACATCTAATTTGCCGTTGTTAAATACGCACCGAAAATTTATCAGAAATATTTTCCAAAGAATGGATGCAATCTCACATCACTGGATGGAGACAAAGACTTAAAAGAAACATAACATCAAGATCTTCCTTGCCCCCTTCTACAGATTAGAATGAAAATAATGTCCCAATATTCAGAAGCAACGACTTCTTTTCTTCGTATTTCTTCTTTGGTCCAAAAATTTTTAAATAAATTGTATATAAAAGCTTTTCAAATACGTAATTTATTCAAAGGGACTAAAAAGGAAAAACAAATAATTGTTACAATATTTTTGGCCCGATGTGATTAAAAGGAAAGCCGTGGATTATTCGCAAAAGTTTTATAAGACATACGCATAATTTTAAGGAATATGGAAGGTGTTAGTATAGCATTAGCATAAGAGAGATTACAAATAAGTCACTTAAGTTTCTGTTGCACAATTTACTTCCAAACTCGGCACTATTGCCATTTCTATTATTTTATTTTTAGTCATTTATAACCGATAATATTATAATTCTTGAGAAAAATTTTTTTATTTTATTTCATTTAATTATTAAAAGGTACAATTTATGAAATCTACTTTTGTTTCATTTAATGAAACAGGTTATACGAAAAGTGTATTCCTAAAGATATATTTTTGTTGCTACTTCATTCATGACATTATGCGACGAACCTACGCATGGACACAGCGACGAACTAACGCATGGAAATCCAGCCGATAATCCCAGGTTCTTTAATGGTTCCGAAGACCTGATTATTGGAAATCCTAAAAACTTAAAAAGTGCATAACATAGTCATTTCAATAATACAAATTTTGAAATTATATATATATGAAAGCCAGTTTAAGGTGTACATTGAAAAATGGGATGCGCATTGGCATCTTTAGTTCAGCCGATGTTTAGGAACATATTCAGTTCAAAATAGTTTCTTAAGCGTATCTGATTAGCCTAAAGGTAATAGGGATTTTTACATCAGAAATTTCTAATTTAGTTTTTACGAAAGAGCATGCATATAAAGGCAAACTCAAATAAATGGGCATGATAGGTTAGTAAAAAGTCATACAGAATTTTACATTTCATGGAAAAGGTATTTTAGCTTAATATAAGAATTAAATTATAAATTTAAAATATGAATTAATATTTTAAGGTATTTATTTACTTAAATTGTATATAAATAAAAATTACCAATTTACCAATTATATATCAATAGAAATAAAAAATAAATACAATCTACAACACAAAAAATGACTCGCCAAGAAGGAGTTATCCTAGTGGGACGAAAATTCGTTAATGTGAGTTACATGTATTCAAAATAAAATGTTAACAGTATCACAGAAACTGAATTTTTTATTCAGAAAATACAGCTAAAAAAGAAAAAAAGTACTGCATTGACTTACTTCTGGACCTGATGCAAGCTGTTATCCGCCTGCGCACTTGACTTGTAAATTTGGTGGATTTGCATGCCATTGCCATGCGCATTAAGATTGACGAATTAGATCGACGCGATCTGGGGACGGCAGGAAACGCTTGTTTCTCAGAGCTCATAGCCCACCATCGAATGAACAGTAAAAGCCGCTAGCCGCTATACACTGGTGGTTCGGTCCGGCGTTTTAGCCGCGGTGAACAGACGTTTTCATGATTTTCTCCATGTGTAACGTGGATATAAGCCAGTTACCCTTAAAATGTCCTGCACATTGGATACCTCCCTTTCCGTGTAGTACCTAATAGCGGAGCACTTAATTAATAAACAAAACACATTCCAAACATGCTCTGTTGAAGTGAGATCTGGCTATCGCGTCGGCCAGAGAAGTGTTACAGAAGCACATAGGTAAGCAGTTGGAAGGCACGTCATGTGCGGCCAAACATTATCCTGTTGAAATGTAAGCGCAACGATCCGTGAAAAGAAGGATAACACTACGGGGCGTAGAATCTTGTCGACTTAAAGTCGTGCTGTAAGCATGTCAAGTATTGCAACCAAAAGGAGTCCGACTATACCCCATACCTTAACTCCTGGTTCTCGGTCTGTGTGCCGGATAGCAGGAAGCTGGGGTCCTATCGCTGTCCTGAACATTTGCAGACACGTCTTCGCTGATAACTAGGGCTCATTCTGAAGCGGGATTCAGCGATGAAAACAATTCTTCTCCAGTCCCTCAGTGAGATCCCGGTTCGAATGTACCAGGCGTCCAGCAATTATACCTGGCGGTGTGAAACAGTGAGATACAGTCGATGGAATGACATCCGTGACCTCAGCTCTCGTTAACTGAATCGGTTATCAATGGTTGTTGTAGTCACTAATGTCCCAGTTATATGTCAGATTGTGATAAACACGCATCAGAGGATCTGAGCTCGACTGGACCATTAATCTGTGCTTGTGTTCTGTTGTCATTCCTGGTCGACCTCTACCTTCTTGATACTCTGTCCGGCCATTGTTCGCCCATTCCTTTTAACATCGTCGAATGGTAGCATCGATTCGAACTAAACGTCTAGCGATCCTGAGATTTGACTACCCTGTTTCCTTTAGTCTAATTGCTCATCATTTCTGAAACGGCAACATCTGCTCATACTGTTGGCGAACCAACCTGCGAGGCATCGTATACAGTCCACGTGGGTCAACGGAACCAAAGTCGCATGGACGTATGCCTTAGCATTGGAATGTTCTCTGTTTTTGCAGTATTCGGATGTTCCGTTGCAGTGCGGAGTTCCAGTTACTCAGTCGTGGGTCGCCAAAAATTAATAATTTGCATATTTTCTCGTTTTACGGAATTTCATACCATTTGGATAATTCCTTCTTAGTGCTTTGCATTTTATGTTATTAAGTTGATATATATATAGAGTTAGTTAATTTTTTATTCTTTCTCAGTTTTAATTCAAAGAATTAGTATTTAAGAAAGCATCTTCATTAATTGAGAAGAATTAGTATCTTAAAGAATAAGTATTTATAAAAGCATCTTCATTAATTCAAAGAACTAGTATTTAAGAAAGCATCTTCATTAATTCAAAGAATCAATATTTAAGAAAGCATCTTCATTAATTCAAAAATCATAACAAAAGTTTACAAAAACATTTATATATTTTTTACTTTTTTCTCTCCTTCTTTCATTTTCTAGCACAAAGAAATATGAAACAACGAATTTTGGTGCCTAATAATTTCATTATTTCTCTTGAAAATTCTCAAGACATCTTCCCTACCAAATAAGGTAAATTTAGGAGTTTGAATTTTCAAACAGCAGTATTCCGATACTTCATCTAAAAACAAAATATACTTGATTTTTTCTTAACTTTGGGTGGTCTTCAAAGCCAAACAAAACCAAAATTTCTTTAAACACGTAAGGAAACTTACTATGCCATATCTAGAGATTTTAACACACAAAGAGATAAACGGCTTGGCAAAATCATGGAATCGAAATTTATCTGAGTCTTCCATGATAAAAAAATTTCTTAAAGTCTGGAACAGAACTAAATCCTAACTTCTGCAATAAATTTGAAGTCCTGCAATTTGTTTTGACAGGAAATCTAGCTTGAAATTTATTACAAAACATTTATTCTTTATTCTTAAAACTGTTTTCAGAACTGATGAAGAATAAAGCTATGTATATGAAATCATTCTTTCTTATCTACTTCAATAAGTTTCCCTTCCAGCAGAACTGAGCTAATAGCACTGGCGAAACATAGTTAGGAAATTAGTTTTTGAACTTCCGTGGCCACAACATGC